CTCTGGCTCTGGCTCTGCCCGGGGCCCTGCCCGCCCGGCTTCGGGGCCTCTCTGCTGGAGAGAGCCGGTGGATGTATCTCCTTGGGCTAAGCCTAGCCTGGTGTAAGGCCATGCCGGTGCCCCGTTTGGCTGAGGCGTAAGGGTCCGGGAGGGCCGGGTGCCCTCAGCGTGACGCTCAAGCCGTTGGTCCGTCCCGCTGTCAGTGTCCCCGGCCACCCGGCTCAGTCGCTGCCCTTTGGTCATGGTAGGTGAGCAAGGCTTTGCTTCTGCGTTCTGGAAACCTGACTGCAGCATGTCGTCAGCGTGTGGCAAACGGGGCATCTCCTGCTGGTAAAGAGGAGGCGACGATGGAGTTCAGTGGGGACTTCAAAGGAAAATTGGATCTGATGGGATATAGGATGGAAAAATTCCCACACGACAACTCTCTTTAACTCCTTAAAATGGCATTGGTTCTCACCTAGGAGCCGTTGGGCTGACATGGCCTACATGTCATGTTTGTTTTCCAAAGGGAGACACTCTGAAAACGTACCGATTTGTCAGCAGTGCCACTTTTGTGAAGTTGGGATGAGCCCGTGACTCACCGTGTCTGAGACTGGCTTTTGAGAGTGGCCTGGTTTAACTTGTCTAAAGAGTTTTCTTTAGTCTTCTCACAAAAGAAGTCATCAGGGAAATTCAGATGCTCTTTCCTCCTACAGAATCCATTTGTTTACAAATTTTTCTAAGTTTCTGTTCTGCTGGGGCTCTTCCAGGCAGGGTGAAGAGTTTGCAGAGCAGCAGTTTGGGTTCCCTCGCTCTCCAGTTCAGGTGCAGCATAGCCTTTTTGTTCACGGGCTCGAGTTCTGCATGTGTCCAGTGACTTACTGGCTGTGACGTTCTCAGGGCTGTGTGGCAGAGGGAGCTGGATTTCCCCATTTTGTTTGGAGGAGGTGCAAGATTTTCTTACGCAGACTCTTGCTATCGCTACACCTTGTCTTGTTGCAGGTTCACCTTCAGCAAGAACGGTAGTGTGGAGGAGATGGAAGGGGGAAACCTTCCCAGAAAAATTTGTCAGCTGTTCTGGCTCTCTTAGAAAATCTAACCTGCTTTTTTGTAGGGGAATGAGGACTAGTTTCTTGGGCTACTAGGAAAGACAAATGTCACTGTTAGGTTACAGCAGGACTCTGCATGTCCTGCGGGTGGCTGAGGGGCTTTCCCAGCGTGGGAGACTGGGTGGACGTGAGCTGCCTGCTAAGCTGTAGCTATTGTACCGTGGGCCTCGCTGGCAATTTTTGTACAGCCTAGAGGTTGCATGTGATTCCTGTTGACACTTAGACAGGATTTTAGATGTGGACTGGATGGATTATAACCACCATATGCACTGAACATTAAACTGCTTCTTTCAAATAATCATCCTGTTGTTTCTGTAGTGTTGTAGTTACCCAGACTAGAATTTAATGGTGTGTTGGCTTTTAGCCAATGTGCTTGCCAAGGTAACCCCGTCACACACGTGAGGTTGGCTTTGTATGTTCACACGCACCCTGGAAGGGGTCTGTTCACCTATATATATGCTGCCAAAGAGCGTTCCACGTGTGGTACCTCCCTTGTAAAACTGAACAGCTAATGCTTTCAAGCAGCTGATTAAAGAAAAATACTGGTATTTCCTTTAAAGGCTTTGGATAGAATTAGTTGCTTCTTAATTTTCTGTTGCACTTGCTTGTGCTCTTTCTGAAAGCGTACTGTCTTTAGGCTAGAGCTTTCTCTTCACCTTCTTCAGGTTTATCTAACAAGGCTCCTCTTGACTTCAGGAAGGGAGAAGAGCTGTTCAAGCCTAAGATCATTCTAGGCAGAAGAAGAAGTCATGAACGCTTCTAAGGTGGTGATTCAAGGAAGGTTACTAAACACCAGAACAGTAAGGGCTGTTAGGATGGCAAACACCCCTCCTTTCTTCGGGTGGAGCGTGTTCAGAAGGACGCTGTCCCTTCTGGTCCTACAGTCCTACACATGGTTGACCTGGGGCTGGAAAGATTGGCTGTGACCGGTACAAAACCCGGCAGCGGGGAGGGAAGATGACTGGAGGGTGGGTGTGTACGGTTATATTTGATTTCAGGAAGCAAGCTGTAAGTAGTACAAAAAGTTCTTAGGCTAAATGGTTGATAATTATTTCTAACTTGACACTGTTGCTTTGAGCCGTGTTCTGACTGGAAGAAGCCAGTTTTCCATCGGCTGTGTTAGATGTTTGAATGTGTGCACTGGAGCGTTAGCCTGATGCGCAGGCAGTCTCCTGGCTGCTCGGAGATTACCTCTGAAAGGCTGGAAGATGTGGTGAGAGAGCGTTACCTGAGCTTACCTATCGGCTGGAGTCTTGTGCAGCACCCAGGGCTGTCTGTCACCTTTTATGTTCTTTCCCTCCCAGTCTCTGGTTTAAGCAGATCTTGACTTAGGGGCAAGCTGCTGTGGCTCTGGTCAGCTGCCGTCCATGGTCGGCATTGGTTTGAAGGATGTGGGTTTGTGTTCTGGAGCAAATACACCACCTCACAAGAAGGACGTTGTGCAGGGAAATAAACACAAAATACGGGTATTCTGACTGTAATTTAAGCAGTATGTCAGCCTGCCTGTGAAAAGGAACACGGTTACTTTACCAGGTCATACCGAGTGACAGCACCTTGTTGAGTCACAGCTGGTTGCAAATGCAGTGGTGAATATTATTATCTCATTTATTGACTTTTGATGTGGTTATTGCTGAGTCAGTCACGTGCTCTGTGGAGGATTGAGCAGGTTGTTGTGGAATCCACCTCGGTTCTTATGAGCCAGAGTCCCTAATGAGGCATCCACAGAGCATTTAACAGCTTTTTTCGCAACCGGTTTTGTAGTTAAATGCAGTTTTGTAGTTAAAAATCCTCTGAAAATGCCCTGCTTATTCCTCCAAGGCTCTGGGTGTGGATCATCTGCATTTCCCCTCCTGCATCTGGGAGGCTGAGGCTGCTGAAATGCTGTAAGGTGACACCCAATTCCCTTCTCTAATCCCTCTTCACTGGTACCTTTTCACCTTGCTTGCTTTAAGGAGGCTTGTGCTGGCATTGCGGATGCCTGACCAGTTGGAAGGGGGTTGGAGAAGGGCCCAGTTTGTACAGAAGAATTAGTGCCCCTGTGAAATGGGCTAAAAATGGGTAATTGCAAGGAGCAGTCATGATCTTCGCTGCGCTTCTGTGCTTGAAGCAGTAAAATGATCCATGTTGTTGCATGCGGTCTCATGATGCCCCTATTGCTTTAGCAACCAGTGAGCAATGCACCAGTGTTTTCCGCAGCTCCTTCATCAGCTCGTCTCTTGTTCCAGCGAGCTCATCTGCAGTGTGGAGCAGGGCAGGGAGCATGTGCCCTTGAGATGGCTTTTCTCCTCTGGAGTAGGCTCTTGAAAGAGAATTCCCTGGACATTTTTGGGAGGAAAAAAAGGAGGCAGATTACTCCTCTCTGAAGCTGAACTGCTTGTTGTTTGGGAGTGATGCTTTAATCAAAGAAAGAACAGTTTTAAATAGGAGAAGAGTACCCAGAGTTGTACCCAGTCCCTCACCTTGTTCTCAGCTCATAAGCCATGTGTACTGTGACAGCGTCAAGACAGAAGTACGTTCCTGTATCTCACACATAGCTTTCGTTCCTCACCCGCTCCGCAAAGCACAGTGGAGCGATTGTCTCCGTTATTCCTACTGTAGTTCTGTAGGGGTTTCAGCCCAGCCCTGCTGGTGACGGCCACCACCACCTGCCCTTGACTAGACCATTCCCTTCCTGCCTTCTCCCCGGCTGCTCAGGAGCACCAGGCTGGAGCGCTCATGGGTCAAAAGCAGTTGCTTTTGCTGCTTGTTTGTTGCTGGATTATTCTAATCCTGTTCAGAGCCATGTGATTGCTTTTGGTGGCCCAGCAGGATGGGCGATGAGGAAGGCAAGACGGCCTCATCCAGCCACGGTGCTGCTGGTTCAGGCTCAGGCTGTGTCTAGGACTGTGCTGTCAGTCCGTCCCTCGGCATGCCGTGGTGGTGAGTGTCTGGCTGAGTAATTAAAAAGGATTCAATTTCTATCACTTCACTGTTAATTCTAATAATGGTGAAAAGCCTAAGTGGACATCTAATTGCTTTCTGTTAATGAGCATTGTATGGTGCAGCCCTTGTTTTGAGCGGGCTGCAGTTACGTTGTCGACTCTGTGCTCCTGGCTGTTGTAGGGGGTCGTGTCCCCTGCCACTGTGTCACTCGTGCATCACATCCATGTGTTGGGTTTGCATGGTCATGGCATTAGGATGTTGGGTTAGGGAGAAGTAATTATGACTGGAGCAGTCTGGTGCTTGATGCTGGTGCATTTATGATAATAAAACCCGGCACCATGCTGGACTAAATGTTAAGTAGTTTGGTGACATTTGATGCCTTGGACAAGCCTTGGGTTCTAGTTTGGTTTCGCGTGGGACAAACTAATGAGTCAGACTTGGCCGTTCTGGGTGTCCCAGTGGTCTTCCAGCCACTGTGAAGTTTTCCACCACAACAATTTCTCGTACAACCACTACTTGTACTTCACCTACCGTCACCTGTTTGCCTTCTCTTTTATCTAACGCTCTCCTCTGTTTTATGCTGATTCACTCTGGGGAAATAAAGTCAAAGCCACAGTTTTTCTTTGCTCTGGCATTTTTCTCATATCCCCTCCTTGGTTATTTGTGTATGATTCTTTCCTTGTAAGTGTGTTGCTGCATTTTCCTGGAGGATTTCTCTTTGTAGAAGTTCTGTGGAGAGTTAATGCAAAGATTTTTTTGCTTTTCTTTTTTTTATTTTTTTTTCCTGCCAAAGATGATGGTGCTTAGCATCCCCCTTGTGTCCATAGCTACAAGCTCTGTATAAAGCTGGCCTTGCAACACCTGCGTAAGGTAGGTCAAGGTTGGTTTGTAGACTGGGGGGATGTGTGGGAATGGGGTTCAAGAGGCATGGTAGTCTGGCTGAAGGCCTACAGCTGTCTGGAGTTGGAGGTAGAACCTAGAGGTGGAGCTGCAGCAGGATTTTAATGCATAGAAAATACATACAAGCCTTTTAGAGACATTAAAAATCATACCAGTCTTGTGCGAGATGTGTGGACATCATGGTGACTGGAAAAGAGGACACCTCATTTTTTCCTTCTTGAAGTTTCTCTGTCCTTTTAGTCCTTGGTGTGATATTTACAGATGTGCTTTCTTAAAGCATTTTGTCCCCAACTTGGGCAAACTCTCAGGCACTTGTGGCAGCGGTTGAGAGGAATAATGCACAACTTTGGTTTTACCTTGAGAGCTCTGAACTTAATGTGTTGTTGTAGCAACTGGTTTCTGAAAGCTTGCAATAGAATATCTTGTTTTAGCTGATAAAAGCTGCGTTATCAATTTGTGAAGACAGTTTACTGCCATTGTTGTTCATTAGTTTTGGTCTTGAGACCTTGTGCACGCAGCGGCTTTTGTATCTGTAGCAGCACTGTCAGAGCCCCAGGGTGTTCTGCTCACCAGCGTATCCCCCTCTGAGCTCCTCTAAGTGATTTTCCTCATGCTCTTTGCGACTGGTATTATGTGGTGGAGCAAAGGCAGTGTGGCAGGTGCCTTGAACACGCCAGTTGTGCATCTCGGTGTTGTTCCAGTTGTACGAGAGAGACCTTAGCATCCCAGGGTGCTGGAGAGCCTGCCTGGCGATGCTCTCCTGGACAGCTGGCGTCCCGCAGGTGTGGGGTTTCAGTGGTGGTGAGCAGTCCTCGCTCTGCATCCTCTGCGCCTGGGATGCAGAACTTCTTCCACAAAAAAAGCTCTGCTCTGAATTTGTGAAATATAGTTTTACTGAGGTGAGTCGAGCCCCAGGATGTCTCGTTCATGGGATAGCAGGGAGCTATTTGACTCTGATCCCAGATAATCAGGTGCTGCGGTACTCAGACATCCTGCACAAGCGTTGTCTTCACAGTTAATCAGATAAAATGCTCCAAACCACAATTCTACTTGACCCACGTAAAATGCAAAATCTATTCCTAAATGCCAGTGTTTGTCATGCTTTTCTGAACCTTAGTATAAACATAAACCACTGCTTTGTATCTCAGGTGGAGAAGCTGTATCAAGCTAGCTGTGCTTGGAGATTATATACAGATTAGCTTTTTAATTTGTTGCTTCTGGGAGGGGTGGCAGAAGGTTGCCTGTCGTTTGGAGCACCTACATTTTGTTATGCTGATTCTGTAGGTAGATTCTGGACCTGAAGTCGATTGTTGTATCTGGAAAGAAGGACGCATGTTTCTAAAATATAAACATCTGGATGCTTGTAAGCTGAGCTCAGCAATAGCTGAGCACTACCATCGTCGTTAAAGCACTACCATCTGTGCAGAGTAAGAAGAGCCTTTCTTGAAGCATAAAGGAAAAATGCCTTAATGGAAAAAACAGAGCCATTCATGAAAACCCTTCCATTTCAGAGCAAATCATGCTTGCTCCTAGCTAGAGGGACTACAAATCCTTTCATAATACCGCCATAACCATTCAGATGATTACTTACTGCTTCTGTAAGGACTTGTTTTAAAACAAACTTTATGCTGTCTATGCATTGCACCTAGGGAAGCGAATGTACGTTTCGCTCGGTCCTTTCATCATGTGCATGAAACCCCCCCACTCTGAGACTTCAAGGGAAGTTATTTGGGTGGAGCCTTTTATTTTAGTTCTCTTATTTCTCTGAAATTGTAACTTAGTGAAGTTCGTATTTGAGAGTGTTTTCCTGAAGTCTTTCTAGGAGGAAGCTACATTTGTGGTGCTCTCATACATCTGAATCGATTCGGTTGACTTTGCAGTTAATCCAGTGCTCCAGAATCCCAGAGGCCTTGCACACGCTTCGTCTCCTGAAATTTGCACTGTAGTGCATCGCCTTAAAGGGGAATGAAACAAACCTGTGGTGAAGCTTTCAGAGCTGAAGTTCAGTTTAGTCGGTCCCAGGGTTTATCTCTTCCAGACATCCCTGTTCCTGCATTTAGAACTGTCAATGTTATTAATTAAATTCAGCATCAAGGTGTCTCTAGCACTCACAGTAGAGGTTTTGTGTGGTTCTCGCCCTGGGATATGGGAGTGAAAGAGGGGAGGGAAGGCAAACTGCCCAACAGGAGTCCCTCTGGCTGTGCAGGGCTTTGCAGTGGGAGGAAGCCTCATCCTTCTTTGAGCAGGTTGCTGGTGTTTGTGGGACTGGACTTCACACTGGAAGGTAGAGAGAAGAGAAAGAATTCGTCAGAATTGAGCAATATTGGAAAGAGCTGACTCTTACTGCTCCCTTTCCTTTCTGTGGAAAACAAGTTAAAATGGAATTCTCTCCACTGTAATGATTTATTCTTGGGTTTCCCCCCGGCTCCCTGCTTCTGCCGTTGGCAGTAGCCATCAGTGGTACAGGGAAGGAGTGAACTAGCAAGTACTTTCTATGTCTCGTGCTCTTTTATACTTGTGAATTAAAAACTGCACAGACCAGCTGTTCTCTGGGAAACACTAATTTAGATTTTTTTTATTCCCTTTTTTTTCCTTTTTTTTCTAGGAAACTACTTTGCAAGTCACTTCTTTATGGGCGGTGAGAAGTTTGACACCCCTCACCCCGAGGGCTACCTTTTTGGCGAGAACATGGATCTAAACTTCCTCGGGAATAGACCTGTTCAGGCAAGTTCCTATATGCTGTCTATTTTACCCTTTTGTTTTCTGCCTGTTTTGGAAAATCTCATGTAGGGCTTGTAGAGGAGGACAGCACAGCACAGAGACTGTCACAACTTGGGGAGTGTCCTTCCAGTCTGAGGCGCAAGAGCGTTCCCCCAGCCCATGTCCCAGCTTGCCGGCTGCCATAGCCGTTCAGATGAAGGCAGAGTTTTTCTAAGAAGTAGTATTCACTTTCTAGGCTTATTTTCACTTAGGGCAGCAGGAAGAAGTAGTGGGGGAAGGACAGGGACTCAGGACCACAGATTTTGGGACTGCCTGCCTGCCTGAGTAAGTATAAAAGATGCTGTAGAGAGGAGAAGGCTGGGAAGCAGATCCACTCTGAGCCTGAACTCCACAGGGCTCCTGGGCACACTGGATGGATTCCAGCCAGAATTAAACTCATGCTGTTCTCTGTGTAAACTGGGTGTAGGTCAGTGTTAAGACAGATCTTGATATTTGGTGATTTTTGCTGGCTTTGTAACCTAGGTGGGCTGCTCGGAAAGTCTCTCCTTTAGTTTTCTCAGTTGGAACATAGAGGTATTTCTGGGCTCACAGGTGAAAAGCTACCTGCTCAAACGATTGGCTTGGTTTTTTTTGTCCTGAACATGGAATAGCACTGTTGTGAGGTACAGATAGGAATTTTCTGCAAGTGGTATGTTTTGGGTTTCTCTTGCATCTCAGAACTGCTTAAAAAGAACCAAAAAGTTTGGAGATGTTTTCAGAGTGCTGGAGAGTAAAAGGAAAAGAGCTACTTGCTTTGCCAGCTATTTTCCTAGTTGTTTCTGCAGCTTCAAAACAAGAAAAATTAAAACTGGTCATGGTTCTCATCTTCAGAAAAGCTGTGACTATTAGTTAATTCATGCTTGTAGTGCTTGGAGGCAGTTCAGTATCACCCTTGTTTTACAGATGGGGGAAACTGAGGCAGAACGACTTGATGTTTGAGTTTGGACCAGTGACAAGCACGTTCTACTCTCTGAGTTATCCTCGGGCTGTGCCATTGGTCTTCTCTGCACCGCAGTTAGTTAACAGGACTCTGCAGGGGAGGACAAGTGAGAATCTGGAGAGCCCCTGTTCAAGCAGAAAGTGCAGATGAGCAACAGAATTAGGAAGCAAGGCCTTTACGTGGAAATTCTCGTAATGGTGCTGTGCAGGCATGGGGATGCTCACCACATATCCTACGCCATGTCTGCATACAGGGCCCATGCAGGACAGCGGTTGAAAGCTGAACGCTTCTCCTTTGTGACTAACAGCTGCACAGTACTCCAACAAAAGCAGAAGACACAGCTGTTAGCCTATGGCTGTGGGGACTATAACCTTGAGGAGTTAAATTGCCTGCATGTCTCAGCCTGGGTTTTCTTGCAGACATCCCGGCACTGAATTTCATCATTTCTTCAGAGAGGAGTGGGTGAGAATGCTATTAACACAGTGGGACGTTTGCCAAATAGGTTTAAGAGAGGGAGGCTGTCGTGGTATATAGTTTGTCTATGTAAAGTTAATGCCCTTTGGCAGCTCTGATTAATTTTCAAGGAAAAAAGCACTTGAACACAGAGCAGCAAAACTGCTTTCTGAACATGGGCCAGGTTCTCGCTTTGGAGTAACTGAGGTCTTGACTGCTCTGCGTGGAGCAGTGCTACCAACCACATTACTGAGTGGTCGAGGAGCAAGGAACGTAGTTGCTGCTGCCCCGTGAATTCTCTGCTGCCCGTGGCTGTGGCAGGGCATCTTCTGTGGCATTCTCGTGTCCATCAGGAAACAGCATGTCTTCCCTCAGGCTCTGGGTCTTGCCCCACCAATACGTGTCTGTGGTCTGAGGGGACAGCGCTGAAGGATTGTGTCCTGGAGCTGCCCTGAAGTTCTGCTGCAGCAGCATTTTGCTGCCTATTCAGCAGATTCCTCATTTCTAAGCAAACCTGTATATTGGTGGTCCCTGCTACTTCTGCTCTCTGTCCATCACTCTCTGTACACCACTGCAGGGCACCTAGAAGATGTGTGTTTGAAGGACCCCAACTCTAAGGAGTTTGCGGGGTGGCACCATAACTGAGCCATTCAGAGTAGCCTTCTACCTGAAAGCCTGTCCTCTAGCTCTGTACCTTTGTGTCGTACCATTGCTCTGACTTGGAGCGCAACTGCATCTCCAGTCTGAGCACCTACCAAACTCGGCAGTTGTGTGAGCGGATGTTTCAGCTTCAGACTTGGCTGAGCAGGTGGGAGATCCAGCAGGCAGGTCTGCAGCTGTACAGGTTGCGGTTTCCGCCAGTAAGCAGTTTCCTTTGCATTTCTCACTGGAGGTTCTCTGACCGGTAAGGGGAATTAAAGTCTGAAGCATTGTCGTCCTTTATTTAAAGGACAATCTGTGAGAGAAGGTCTCTTGACTGTAGAATAGAATGAGGCCCCCTATCCCTGTCTCTTTTCTTTTCCAGAACATTTGCCCCATTGTTTCAGAATAAAAGGAGTTTCCCCCAGTAATCCAGGGTTTCAGCATACTGATTAGCAGTCAGGTCACTGTTTGCATGCTGTAACACACATGAAAGAGCTGCATTTCTTCTGCTCAAGCTGGAGGTGGTTTCTTTAGTGGAAATAAAAGCTTGTGAGAGTAAGGCTTTCCAGACTGAGAATTCAGGGTGCAGAAATAGAGCTTGTGAAAATGCCCTTTCTTAAATTGCATGTTCACAATATGAGCTATTGCTGGGCAAGAGCAGGATTTTCACCCTGAAATGTGCTTAATTTATCTGTAAATAGAATTCTCTATTACTGTTCATTGTGGCTGTTGTATTGAATACCCTTAAAGGTAGATGCCTCTTGGTTTGGGTGAATTGTATGCCGGGTAACATGCTGCTACCTTTTATAGTATAATAATAGGAGAATTATTTGCCTTTTTGTTCCAGTTTCCCTATGTAACTCCAGCTCCACATGAGCCAGTGAAGACACTCAGAAGTTTGGTGAATATCCGCAAAGACTCTCTCCGACTTGTGAGGTACTATTATTGCCTGAACCTTTCATTTTATTCAACCCAGTGATTTGCCAAACTGTATTTGATAAGGTTTTGGAGAAATAGCTGAATTCCAGATCCTCGTTGCTAGGTATGTCCAGAGGTTTCTGTGTTCCCTTGTGATCAGAGCTTTCAGGTGGTTTATATGTTCCTTATCCCTAGACTTGAGCAATCTGTGTTTCCAAACAGGACCAGCGTTGTATCTGTCTCTACAGGACAGACTAGAGTGGTGAACAAAACCATGAAATCGTTAGCATGAACGGACGATATTAGTCAGGTCAATAAACCCTACAGACAGATTCCTTTCTGCGTTCTTGTGCAAGGAGAATCCAGAAAGTAGCAGATCCTGGTGCAAGTCACAGGCCAGGAAGACTGATTGGCCTTGAGTGAAACTTCCTCAGGTTTCTCCTACTGCCAAGATAGAGTTTGGTGCTAGTGTAACGCATTTGTTTACATGGCTTGTGTCCCACACACCGGGCAAGGAGCTCTGGATAATCATGGAGATCTGTTAGCTTTCACTGCTAACTGAGATCTAAAACAGCACTAGCTGGATTAAACGTGATGGCTAACACTTGCACCTGTGGTTGCCCTCTTTCAGACAGATGGCAGAGGTACAGGGGCCCAGCATACAGTGCTTTGTTTTGGTCTGAGCAACCGGGCAGATATCCAGGCAGAGAATTTCTCAAAGATCCTTGAGTCGCTCCGAATTCTGCGTTTTGGGTGCAGGGCTGGAGTACTGGCAGCAGCCCAACTTCAACTCTCAGCCAAGATGGTTCTGAGAGCATGGTGCAATGCGAGTAATTTGAGTTATAACCACACAAAACCCTCAGTTTGTTTTTATTTGAAAACTGAAGGTTGGGGTTTTTTTTGTTTTGTTTTATTTTTAAATGAGCAAGACCTGTGGTTTCAAAACTGATTGAACAGGAAAAGAGGGAAGAATTTCTGAAAAAGTAACCATTGGTAAACTGCTCTGAATGCTGTCTCGCTTTTTCAGCTAAAGGGTGAAGTACTTCTCTAGGAAAAAGTCTTGCTTTCTTCCCACACTTGCTGTGGAAAGGGTATTTTGTTCTTGCAGGCATCCACGTAAACAGTGTAACGTCTCTCAAAGCCAAATGGGAAGTGGCTTTTTCACTGGGAGAGGCCTTGCTGTGAATGGAGGAGTTGGTGGGGTTTAGTACGTACAGTTCTGTCATTCTGCTTTCTGTGGTTGCATGTCCTGTCCAGGCGAGCAGAGCTGCAGCTCTGGACTATTTGAAATGTAGTGTCCATGCACCTTGACAGTGTCTAGGTTTGCATCTGTCTAATTCCTGGTACTATCAGTTCTTTCTCTGCCTTCTGAGCTCTCACACAGGCTCTTCTGCTGCTGTTGCGTTAGTGCTGATGACAACACCGCCAATGTTACTTTATTTAATTTTGTACTGATGTAGACCCAAAATGAGATTTTAATTGCCGGTCCTCAAGGACGCATTCTGTCTCATGCTTTTCTACCGTTCTGGACTAGAAGCTTTTCATAAAGACACGTAAAGACACTTTGTGCTCTCTCCAGCTTGGCTTATTTGCAACCAGTGGTTGAGGCTTGCACATTCCTTCCAGAACTGGTTAAGTTTAATTTACTATGTCCTCCACCAAATAAAATGATACTGAGCCAAGTGTCTAGATGTAAAGTAGGTTCTGATGGTAAAGTCCTCACAAGCTTTTTGTTTTCCCTTGTGTTTAATTGAAAATTCATTATTCACCTGTGAAGAAGGTGTTGATCCATAATTTGGAGTGTAGGGCTTTATGGAAGAATATGAGGAAATGTCCAGTCTGGGCTTCCTGCCCGGCTCTGACCAGACAAAATTCTGAGCTTTGCCAAATCCTGAATATTTACAGCAGCTTTGGAGAGAAGCAATAAACCTGTGGATATTGGTGTTGAAGTTCTGACTCTTTGACACCTTGTGTGAGTGCTTGGTTCCTAGCAGGATGAGACTCTGTGAACCTCAGAGGAGGGTAAGTGTGATTTTGGCTGTTAACCACTAACAGAAAAAGATTGCCTCATGACATCAGCAACTATGCTGGTTTGAGAATGCGTCTGAAGCAGCAGCAATATCATGGAGAGTGGTGAGACCACCAAGCATTTTGAGTAAGGGCCTGAGAGGGTGGACGATGATAGGGACAGACTGAGGGGAGACAGATGAGTAGCTGTGAGTGAGAGAAGGGCAATCCTTTCTCTTCCCTCTCCAGCACAGCGGGGCTGACCTTGATCCTTGGAGGAGTTCATCCTGTGGTGGTGGGTGTGCTGGGACTGCTTGTTCTGCAGCCCTGAATAGTGTTGAACTGTGTACAGATCTCTGCAGAAGCCCCAAATAAGAAAGCCTCCATTTGATGATTCCCTTCACAAAAGTCAATGTTGATAGAGATGTCAGCTAGTTCTTACTTCATTTAGTGCCTGCTTTAACACTGTTGTAATGCATATCTCACAATACTAAGTCAAGCAATAAATTTATCCTGCATGTCTACTAAGTTGTAAGTAAACTTTTTAACCTCCTCAAAGGATGAAATGGGGTTCGACTTGACCTATTTCTATAGAATTGTCATGGCTGCTGTTAATTATATTTTTATCTTTTAATTCTTTAACAGACAAACAAAAAGTTCCAGCATTTCCATTGTTTTATCCAGAAGCGATGTCAGACCAAGTGGCCTCAGCTTCCTTGGTCATCCTGCTTTGCCTTTTTCATCGTAACATTGGATCAGCTATTTGTTCTCAAAGGTGGTCAGTCTCTTCTGCTCTATACACGTGATTGTGAAGGCTATGCCATTAATTTGTGTACATGATCGAAAGGCACACCTTGCAAAGTCACTGGTTTCTAAATTTGTGCATGCATCTTTGGCCACCTCACATCAACACTGTCTGTAGGGCTTGATTAAATGTACGCTGTAAACTTCAAACACGGGTGGAGACAGAAGAGCTCTTGAACCACCTGAACCACTCCTGAACCACCTCCTTGTCTGCCACGTCCCTTGCAAAGATGGAAGGAATGCAAAATGTGTGGCTTTGTCTTGTTACTTATTTGAAGGTTCATCCCACCATTCCTGCACCTTAAAGTGGAACATCAGATGTCTCTGCCTCTCAAAGTATGCACCAAAATAGTCCTTGCTTGTTCCCTTGTCCAGCTACCGGCTGGCGTAGCTGCTTATGCAGTCTTTTCTCACCTGAACTCCTTGCTATGTGGCAGACGATTTTCTTAACCTCCAGCACCAGGCATGTTGTAACAGGAAGATGTGTACGCAGCCTTGCTGTGGCTATCACCACTCAGGGATGTGTTCCTTGCCCCCTGCTTGAGTGATGCTGTTCCAGACAGTTGGGGCTCTGATTCTGCTTCTTCACAGCAGATACAGCCTCCAGAAACCTTCTCTCCAGACACTGTAGTTGATTGTGGCCGCTCGGCGGTTCCCCAGGGCAACAGATCTATTCTAGTCTAGGTTTAACCCTTTTTCTTCTTGAAAGGCTAGAAGCTCATTCTGAGCGCTAGCAAGGAGATGCAGAGGTGAAGTTGGGAGCAGGAGGGTGATGTGGGAACCCGTACGGTTTGTGTGACTTCACTGGGAAGACAAAACAGGCAATGGTTTTACTAATGACATGTTCCCTTTTTGTGATCAGCCCCCACCCCCAGGTCTCCCACCTTGTTGCTTGGGACTGTTACAGGTATCTAGATCTGTGTTGTCAATCTGTAACTCACGCATGTGCCGGGCATCTCTATTTTGATACCTACCTATATATGCAGTGAGTATAGGTCTATGAAGTAGCTTTCATCGGTGCCTGCCTGGAAGGGGTGCTGGTTCTCCCCCACTCTACTTCTACTGGAGGAAGTGGCAAGTGTATTGTAGCCTGGATGCTTCGCTGCTGACCTCGGATCAACGGAGGACAGCGCAGCAAGAGATAATTTGCGGAAGGTTATGCTGCTGCTTTCTCTGGACACACAGCACTTGTGAGTGGATTGTTGCCATCTGCATTCCTGGGTCAGTCCAGCACAAAATGTTGATTCTACCCTTGTATTTTCTAGGCAAATCTGCTCTGCTGGCTAGAATGTTTCTTGTTTACAGCCATGAATTTTTTCTCTAAATGCAACTAGCTTGTGTGAAAATACCATCTTGCTCTGTACTGTATATTGTATCCAGGCTGCTGCAGATGTTCAGACTCTCAGTTCTTGGGATTTGTCTTTTTTTTGTACTAGCATGTTGGGTGTATTCTAGCTTGATTTGCTGTTCTGACCTAGGTGAACCTCTGGCAAAAGGCTTGTTTGGAGCTCTGCAAGTCCTTCAGACAGGAATGCAAGTGTATGCTATAGCGATTCACTAGGGTTACATTAGTACAAGTATGCGTTAGGTGTTTGAATTTCATTTTGCGCCTTCTGTATTAAATTGCTGGAGCTGAACACTTCATTCTTCTTCATTGTGGCGTTAAGTAGAATTCATCCTGGAACCTTCTTAATTAGGCAGCAGTTATTACATCTCAGTGAACTCGGTAAATAAGGATTCCCTTGACAATTTTTAGATTGAATCATGGAGGTATGCCTACCCCATTTCTCAGTATTTTTCAACAGTGCAGCATATTCATTGAGGCTGTTTAATGAAGGGAGAGGCCAACGGATACTGTGAAGTCAGAGACGGTGCCAAGCTTTTCCTGAATAGTTTAGCTTCTTGGCTTTGACCCAGGCATCGTGGCGATTAAGGTAATACTGATAGAACAGTGAGGCTGGAGCTGGGCAGCAAATCAAGTAGTGTTGTACACCTCTCAAAGGCAACCTGCTGCATTCCTACACGGTGCATGAACTGACAGTGGTACTTACAGTTGTAGGATTACAGTGGGATTTGAATTCACGTATGAGATCTTCTCATGGTGCGTTATGTCGGCTGCCTGTTCCAGGGTCTGCTGGTCTCCCTGGCCGCTCCTGGCACACCATAACTCACTGCTCATCCATGGCCAGAGCTCGCTGCCCTGGAGCTTGCTTCATATCACCTTCCTCACTGGATTTGTTACCTGCCTTTTCCAGCAGAAGGGAGAAGGAGTAATACAGGGCAGTGGTGATCACACAGTGGGATCCAGCTGTACAGTAGCCCATAGCCTGGTTATGACTCACCTTTATGTTAACTGAAAAAACTTCTGAAGTTATTCTTGTATTGGTTATCACGCATCTGTTACGCAGTTGAACGTGTTAATTTTTGTTCATACAATAAATGTATGCAAGCTTCAGTCATTAGCAGTGTCAAAGGTTCAGTTGATGATTTGTACATTTAAAGGTATTTGAAGTTCCTGTATTTCGATGCTTTCTGATTGGAATATCGTCTTCTATGTGATACTGGAGGCACTTTTTGCTGAGGTTCAGGAGTTCTTTGTGTTACAGAAAGCTTGTTTTTTGCCTGTTACACACTATTTCATTTGCAGAGTTAAAAGAATTAGGCTTTAGTCAGGCCCACACAGGATTTCTTTAGCCCAAATACTGAGCCTAACGTGAAGGTTTAAAAGGAGGGAGAATGTTTCTTCTCCTAAGGATTTGACATTCATGAGTTCGCTTTCTTGTCTCATTCTGTGTCCTGGCACTGTAAGGTTGGGTGAGATCCCTCAACACCGTCATCACGTAATTCACTTCAATAACTTCAGTCAAATCTTGGAAGAACCCTCCTCAGAGGAAAGAATGGAAATCTGGGAAGCCCCAGGTGGAAGCCCGTGGTGCCTTACCTGCGCAGCACACCTAGATTGGAGTACTCTTGTCCTGATTTCCAGCGTGATCTTGATGATATCTCATAAATATACTTTTTAATCCCCCGGCATTGTCTTTCAGGTATAAAGATGATGTTGACAGTCCTACTGAGGAGAACGGGAAGCAGAAAGTCCTGTACAGCCTGGAGTTCACGTTTGATGCAGATGCCCGTGTTGCCATCACAATCTACTGCCAGGCTACAGAAGAGTTTGTTGGTGGTATGGCAGTGTAAGTCCTGGGCTTGTGGGCGTGTGGAGGGGCACGGGAGGAGCTCTCAGGTGATGAGCCTGTCAAACATCTCTCGTTAATCACCCCCAAGGGCAGTGCTGCCACAGATGGAGAGGGAAATCTCTTCTTCTGTTTTGTTTTATATATTCTGATAGCTTTGAATATTGCTTTCACTTCCCTCCCCAACATAACAATATCCTCTCATGTTCCCTTTTTGATTTGTTTTTTGGGTGTGGGGAAACCATTCTGTGTGCAACACAGGAGAGGAATTCACAGCTGTATGTTTTGTCAGCAAGATGTTCTATGAAATTAAAAAAAACAACCGCCCTTCACTTCAAATACTACCTGTTTTTTTCCAGATCACCTAACACACTGTATTTCTGTATTCCCTGTGACGGGAACATCTGGGCCACCAAAGTAAAGTTCAGTCTGACATTTACCTAGTGAGTCTGTGTAAAATTGAGGCCCGTCCAAAGCCCCTTTAGGAATAAATGACCAGCAGGCAGTTGAGATGGCTATCAAGAGGATTTACTGCCCGAAACCCTGTCCGTGTGTTTCCTGCCAGGTTCACGTATTAGCCTTTGGCTAGCCATAGAAAGAATGGTCAAAACGTCATCTGTGAAGTCTTTCTCATATGCTGGTAGTGCATCCCTACAGATTTCAAAAACCTTTTAATCTAAATCGGCACTTTTAAACTATTCCAATTGACACTGTAACCCATAACACTACGGAAAATTTCCTCTCTGTATTAAGAGCTAAGGTGGCTAAAACGTGTTCTCCCTGGTGTGAATTGGGTACACATGAGCTGCTGGTATGCGATGGCAGACTTCCGATCGCCATGGGACAAAGAATTCTTTTTGTTCTATGGGTAAAGGAAGATTCAGGCTGCAGAAGCTCTTGGCTTCCTCTAGTAGAGGCTTTTGGCTGATCAGCGGCTCTGTGCACGTACTGCTGACGGCTTCTGCAGTGGTGCTCTGGATTTGGGGGTAAACTTGGGTTTTATTGAAGGGATCTGCAGAGGTTTCAGCAGGGAGAAATATGTATGACAAACCATAAAATGGCTTACGTGTTTTATGCAAAGTGTAAATGTCCCAGTAATGATCAATGACTAGTGCATGTTTAGAAATGAGACAAGCTCAATGCTCCCATCCAGATGTGCGTTCCTCCAAACTTCTTCTGTTGAAGCCTGTGGTTTTAGAAATGAGACAAGCTCAGTGCTCCCATCCAGATGTGCATTCCTCCAAACTTCTTCTGTTGAAGCCTGTGGCTGCCTTTATTTGGGGGAGGTAATAAATTAGCTCCTTTTATGTGCCTGAAAAATATCTCTTGACAAACTCTGAAACCTTTTCTATTTAGACCCAGTTTTTCCTGAGCAGAGCTGAATGCAGCAGGATGCCTTAGAAACCCTGATAAAGTGTCCATGTTCTGTCTCTTAGGTCCTTAGGTTTCCTGTGAATTTAGTGCTAGTGAAGGTGTTGGAATGGCAGCCTTGGAGATTGAAGTCCTCTTTTCCTAATACAGGTACAACGTGGAGAGGTGGCCAGTGTCCCTTGTGCTGCCCTGCAGTGTTCCTTGTTTTTTGACCCAAGAAGGAAACTGTCTGTGGGTTAATGGGGAGAACCGAGGGCCTCTATGGCCAGGGTGGATGTATTTACATTGCCAGACTTCAGCCACGGCTTAAATCAGCAAGTCTTGTTTTAAATCATTGATTTTAATCTTGGTTTGCATATTCACTTGTTGGCTTACCTCGAAGGAGAATTTGTCACTGGTCGGTAACCAGTGCATTTACAATTGAGTGTAAGCTTCGTATCAAACTTTGTGCTACATTTTACAAAGAGCTTAAGTCTGTAAAGAATATGCATATGGTTTAAAATGTATTTTTTCAGACTCCTAGTTTTGTATTTTGTTATGTCAAAATGGCAAAAAAGAAAGTTACTCTAAAAAGAAAAGATTTTATTTTTTTTTAATGTGTGTCTTGAACCAAGCTGCGTTGGGATGGAAACGCAGCCGAGTCACCCGAGACCAGCAGTGTGGCATTCTTTGTTGGTTAAACTGCTCTACGTTGGACTCTCTTAAGAGACTGTCTTGTCAAGTTGCGCCTTGGATCATAATTGCTTAATGGAAGTATTAGTTACTAAATATAACTAACTGTTTCTGGACAGAGTGTGTTTTCAGTCTTCTGTAACTAGTAGCTCTCCTCTCAGAACTCTGTCAGTTGATTGGAGGAGGAAAACACAGTTTCTGGTTCATTTAAGAACACTTTTTACAGAAATTTAGTGCCACGCACTAAGCCAGTGACTGTCACCAGTGCTGTTGTCTGTTCTTTAAAGCTTATGCAGCAAACATGAACTACCTAATGGCTTTTTAAATTTAATTTGAACAATTCCTAGGTAGAGTTTCTGAAAGTTAACACAACTGTCAACTTCAAAGAAAAAAAAATATTTTTTTAAATATGAATTTTTTAATCCACCCTGTCCATGGTTCACTGAGAGATGGATCTCTATTCAGATGGCGGAAGAGAAGCCTTTGTTCATGAACCCTGCCTGCCTCTGCATGAAACCAGGATCAGTAGTCAGCAGTCATTACCCCGCTAATGAAATGTAGCTGACGATGCTGTGCTGCCCTGCTAGGGTGGCAGCAGTCCCTGGTACGCTAAACCTTCACATTCAAAGCCAAAGCACTTGGATTCAGCTCTTGCTTCTACTGCTGGCCTTTTATTTAATAAATCATACTTTAATTTCCCCATAGTGTAGGAGTGATGAACTGTCTGTCTCTGCTCTGGAGCTCTTGGACAATAAACGTTATATAAGTGTGGGATGTGGGGGGCTGCACCAGAAGCCAGTGGACCTTTTGGAAGGCATGATCCTGATTTCATGCAGATGTGTAGGTAATAAGGGCTGGGGGAAGTGAGATACAAATATAGACTTTATAAACTGCTTTAATTCAACCCAGGCTATTTTTCCATGTGGAAGTGGCTCGTGAAGCACATCTTGGGGCTAGTGCAGCTGCCTTAAGTAGGCATCTCTGCTTCTCTGGATTTGCTGGCTGCTAGTAAAAACCTTTTGAAGCTCTGATTTCAGCTTTGCAAAGCAATTCTGAAAGGGCAGTGCTATAATTACTTTGATTTATTCTTTTTATATTCTAGTGGAAAAAAAAAAAAAGTCCAGGCTGCATTCTTAGAGCTCTGAGTGGAGCGAGTGCATTTTTAGTGCATTAATAGGAATGCAGCTTCCCCCTGCCTGGGCTGGTAGTTCCTCCTTTTTCTCTATTTCTTTCAGTGCTAACAGCTACATTCAAGTAACAGGCATGTGCAAAAGCTGCACTGTGTATTAATTCAAAACTTTTTCTATTGATGTGTCCAGCACTTGTTTGGGAAGAAGATGCTATTTAAAACACTTTTTTTTTTTTTTTCCACTCTCCTAAATTGACGCTAAATCTTAAAATGGGAGAAACTTTCTGGACCCTTGTCAAAAGCAGAAATTTTCTCTTAGTCCCCAGCCTGCAGCATGGCTCCTTAGAAGCGCTAAACAAGTTATTCTTGCTTCTCTGCTGAAACAACCACTGATCCTGATAGTATCGGCACTCCTGCTCATGTGAAACTCCTGCTAGGAATGTTATTATGTTCATAAAATTTGGGGTGAGAGGATGGAGGGGAGGGAAGGTAGCTCTTCCTGAGCAGAGCCATTCCTTGTTGTAGAGCCTCTGCTCATCTGAGAGCCACAACGCTCTGTTGCTTGCCTTCAGGATTAGCTGATCTCCATGACCAAAGGGAAGCCTTTCTCTCTGCAAGCCAGGAAGCTTCCCCCTGGAGTTGTTTGGGCTCTGTTTAAAAGCTGGTGGCTTTATCAGTATGCTCTGCCTGTCCTAACCTGTCTCAAAGGAGCGTTCAGCAGACTTTCCCAGGTAATCGTGCTGGGAGATATGCTCAGCTGTACCGTTTCCCAGCCCAGATCTTGGGAACAGGTAGCTCCCAACTGCTGCCTGCCTCTTGTCCTGAACTGCTGAACTCTCGAGTTTCACGGGCAGCTGTATCGTCACTGCAGTGAACCAGTAAAGTCTGGAGGCAAATGTGTGGCTGTCGGGGATTGTGGAGGTGTCTTCACCTCTGCAGCCCCACGCCCTGGGGAGGGTACCCAGCACTTTCTGGTTCTAGCGCTGGGTATCTGTAGAAGCCTCTTGCATGAAATGGGAATTACCTTAAATCTAGAGGGAACTGCTGCGCTCACCTTCTGAATATCTTTTGCCTGATTACTTTGTGGTGAGCCTAAAGACTTTTTAGACTAAAACACATTAGTTCTCAGAGGACCAGCTGGTGTGTTACACCAAGGGTAGCAGAGACTAGATCTGCCTATATCCAGGGTCTCTTTAATGGCATGGAACTAGTGGTGACCTGCCTCTGAACAGCTCAAGACCCCTGATATCCTCAGTTTTATTTATTTTTCTAGCTGTATCAGTTTTCTTTGGTTTTGGAAATTGGCAGGCTGTTCCGTTATGCTGCTTTTTCCTGTGGCAGCCCTCCCAGACAACTTCAGCACAGCATCTTCCCCAAGGATCCACTCTCATTTTGGTTAGCGGTGGGTGTGCTCTTGGGGACTTGGTCTGAGATCTGGCTGGCTTGGAGAGAGTTATATTTCTCAGTTTGTCCTGTCCTTTGGCTTCAGCTTCCCGGCAGCTGGACAGAAAGCAGGGAAGAGTCTGGTTGGGGAAACCATTGTAACAGCTTGACTGCTCACTCATGAGGACAAGCCTTGTATTGCTCAGTGTCACTGAGGCACAGCAGTACCTGTCAGCTTCAAAAATGTCCTACAAACAAAGAGAACTTTGCTGTCAGAATCTGTGATGCTAACTGGATTTTAAGAGTAGCCAGCCAGAGAGGCAGCTCCATGCCTCCAGTACAGGTAATCGGCACGTGCAGCAAGGAGAGGTTCAGCCATCTTGGCCAAAAGGTGAAGGCTGAGCAGGATGGGCCCTATCTCAATGGCATGAGAATCTCTGCCTTA